CACGACAACCATGATCTTGCAGTTATGAAGCATTTATTTCAGGTGCTAACCGGCCCCCGAGTTTATTAATTTTGGGTCATACTTGCATGTGAAACCAATCTTATGCTTACAAGTGTCCATCAATTTATTATAAAGTATATCATTCATTTCCTACATACGCACAATTTTCTCAGCGAAGAAAAAAATTATTTAATCTCGTCATCTATTTTTGCTTTCCTCGCGTTTCCATTTTGCTTCTGCACAAATTATTTCTGCACTTTTGCTCAAAAACTCAACCTGCTTATTATTTCTTTGAAACTCACCTCTTGCTTTGAACTAATCTACCGTCATTGTAGCTGGAACGCAAAGACAAGCCCAGTCTTAACTCTAACCTTTAAATAATGAAAACAATATGTAATATGAAGGTGGAAACATCCTCGCTTTGGAGGTTTTTCACATTCTTTCTCAGACGCTTGGAACATGGTAACCTAGCAACAGCCTGTTGGAGAGGACACAAACAATAAACACAAGTGGAAATGACAGTGTCCTACAGTACGCCTTGTGCGGCTGCGGAAGCTGATGGCTGGAAGGAGAGAACAGCGGGGAACAGAGCATAACAAGCACTCAACTTCAGGCCTCTAACTGGGCGGCTTTCACAGGATTATTTTTAAGTCGTCTTGAATTAGGCCACGCAGAACATAATGATGACATAGTAATAATGCATAAATGATGAAAGAGTACATATCATCCTACTTAACACACTAGAAATGCTAAAATCATTTGAACCGATAAATCACAACCGGCCTTTCAAGTAATCTCCAAAGGAGGTTTTCTGATTGAGAAACGGTTCATTCCAGGGTTTCCCACAGTGTATTGCAAGCCTGGCGGGCCACCAGGCTTTACTGGTGCCCCCACCCGGCTAAGCATTGCTTATTTGCTTAAGTACTTCAAATGTTTGCATTTTTTAAGACTTTATAGTTGGTGTTCAGGTATTAATTTTCCAGTCTTTCAATAATGCATCATCATCAAGCGATATTTTAAACTTTTCTGTCAATCATACACATTTTTTAAACCAAAAACACAATGATTGACTGGCCTGGCCCCCAACCACTGGGCTTAGCAAGTTTTCTGGGGGAATCAAAGTTTTCAAGTCTCTTTAAGACTTAAAGCTACTTCCATATATCAATGCTGACATATCCTAGTTAAAGAGGCAGTATTATGTATTTTCCATGCACACACTGACATCTATCATCAAGGATCCATGTTACTATAGTTGTTATAAGAATGTTCCAGATGTATCAAATATGACCAAATCGAGATTTCACTTCATAATTTGACGCCTTGAAATTGGGCCGCCGTCTCTTTAAGAAACTCCTGCTCTTTCTGAACAGCAGTCTTGATTTTTGAATGACAATTTTTGTCCCAAATAGTCAGTCACCTCTCTGGCTCACCAAAGGATGACCACACACTGTTTTTACATACTTTGATAATGTCAGGCCCTTAGGTCTCTGTTGACGTTCCTCCTGACTTCCTCCTCCTGGCTGAACAAATCATTAAAAATATTCACCTTATAAAATCAGAATGAACCGCTAACATTGGTTTCTTCTTGGCTCACAAAGTTATCTGGATTCAGTGTGTGACACCACAATTCAGAAACATTATACATATTACTTATTTTCCCATTACTAAATCCTACTTTAAAAAACAAACAAACAAAACAATAGTAATATAAAGACTTCTCAAATCCATATAACTTTCACATAAACAGTTGAAATGATGAATTGTACAAATAATTGCATGTTTACTCTTTCAACACAACAATGGCTTTAAAGTACAGAGATTTTTTTGTTTGATTGCTTTCATTTCAATCATTTGTTTATATATACATATATATTGGTGCCCCCACCCGGCTAACCAAATTAGTTTTAATATGGTAGCATTAACCTTCAGTGTCATAATCACTACTTTGACTTGTTAGCAGTACTACAGTATGTGAGAAAATGATCAAACGTGCCATAAAAGTTGGGAGATTATCGCATTATATTACCGTTTATAATATAATCCCGAAAAACTAGGATGAGGATGGCACAAGCTGTAAAGGAAACAATAGTTTGACTCTCTCTCTCTCTCTCTCTCTCTCTCTCTCTCTCTCTCTCTCTCTCTCTCTCTCTCTCTCTCTCTCTCTCTCTCTCTCTCTCTCTCTCTCTCTCTCTCTCTCTCTCTATATATATATATATATATACATATATATATATATATATATACATATATATATATATATATATATATATATATATATATATATATATATATATATATATATATATGTTTTCGGAGTTTGAGAAACGAAGGATGAGTAGATTTCGGAGGGCTTTGCTGGGCGCCGTAGATGCAAGATGAAGAATCAGGCTGAGGACAGAGAGAGCATGGATGGGCCCAGCGTGGGAGCCGTCGTGGCCCGATAAGTGGACAGGCAGCCCTGCTGGAGCCCAGTAATCCGTCTGATCCTGAAAGCCAACCAGCAGAGAGGCGGAAAAAGGGCGCGAGGCATTCATGTTGTGCAAAAAAGAAGAGGAAGAAAAGAAAAAAAAAGCTTTTCATTAGGGCCGTGAGCTCATAGTGAAGTTCAAACATCGTCTCTTTGATCCAAGTCAATTTCATTTGAACAAATTCAACATTTAAATTAGATTGGGTTTAAAAACAGTCTTCGAATCCGATAATGATGAGGAGTTTTCACCGATGATTTGAAAGTGCGCCACATTCAAAGTTTCTAACGTCTCCAGGAGTTATTACTGTAAATACACCCACGTCCTTTTATAAATAATAAATAAAATCAACGGTACATCAAAGCAGCTAATTGCAGCCTGAAACTTAAGAAGCTTAAATGAAGCATTAGTTTTAGCAAATACCACAAACAGGTCCAATTTACACAAGCCTGCCAAACTGTAAGAGTTCCCTGTCTTGCTACTAGATCACAGGACTCCACTCAGCTCACAAACATGCGTCGGTGTTAATGATCAATTGAAAGACAATATACTCATTAGCAAGGCATTGCCCAGTGGGAGTGACAGCACAAAACCCCAAAGAGCTGCCGGTACTGGAAGCTGTATTCATGAATAAAACATTTTCTCATCAGTAGGATGACTTCATCAGTAATCACAGACAGAGCTGATGTTGCTTAGTTTTGCCTCAGATTGGCCTGCAACTCTGAACATAGGAAGAAAGACCTAATGACAGTCAAATGACAGTCAAATAGTCTTCCGTCCTGGGCCTGTCAAGAAATCAAGACCTGTGATCATCGCAAATTATTTTCGGCCAGGGTTGTCATGATGCTGAAAAGATTCAACCTTGATACCAAGAGAAATACTTAATATTGTACTTGATGTTTTTTTAAGCCAATGGGGCTGTTTGTAGTTGAAGTAAAAAATGATTAGTTGCAATTTGACACAATTTAATATGGCAAAACAAGTAAGTAGGAGAAAATTCAGCCCTCTCCAAAAAATTCAAAAGTGTCACTTCCCTATTTGGCTCCAGTCATACCTGATGAACAGATGTGAACTTGTCTCCATTGGACATGCCAGATCACTGACCCATGTCATCTCCTGTCGAGTGCCCCAAGGATCAGTTCTGTTACTTCTTCTTTTTCATTTATATGTGGCACCTTTATAAGCAGCAATGGGGCCTAATTTCATTGCTAGGCTGATGATACTCAGCTGTTGGGGTAGCAATGTATCTGAGACCTCATTAATCTTTCCTCTTACTGTTTAGGGGAGATAAAAGTATGGGGGCAGCAGAAATTCCTCTGTCTAGTAATCACCAGTCTTGGTGTTATTTTTGATCCTCAGCTCATTTGGAAGCCACATCAAGCATATCCAAACATATTTGTGTGTGTGATGTTGCTTGATGTTTAAGAGGTTGGTCATGTGACAGTGATTGTGATGAATTGTGGGGGATTTTAACCAAAGTACGGAAGCAGTGGAGTCAGTGATGTGTTTGTTTTTTGAGGTGTCAAAAGGCCAGTGAAGTATATACATATAATGCAATAGTTCTTAAATTAAATCATTGAACAGGTAACAAATTGTAGTTTTTTTTTTTAAAAATATATAATTTAAGTTTATTTTTTGCATGTTTTGATAATTTTGTTTCAAAGTTTGAACTACTTTGAATTAGAGAAGCAAGAAAGATGTTTAAGCGTTTGTCTAAATAAGTTTGGCTGATGACCTTCACCAAAAAAATTCCTACAAGTTTGAAAAAAATAGAATTTTTTATTTTTTTTTTCCCAAAGAAGAGGAGTAAAAGCTGCCTGCATATTGCCGGACTGAAATCTAATAACCACCTTAGGGATGCTTTAAAAAGAACTGTGGATCAGCAGAACACCTCCAGCAGAGAAAAAGAAAAGCATCTCTTCGTCCGTCCAGGCTTCCATCTCTCCACGGATTAGCAAAAAGACTGGTTATAAGCAACACTGAGGAGGATTTGGTCCACACAACAACAAATAGCTGCCAAATCCTGGGAAGAAACAGCAAAGGTTTGAATCTCACTGTTCACCTTTGGTGCTCTGACTTCCCCTTATGGGGTTTTGGGATTTTGATGAAGTAAATCTTTCAAACAGGAACGAGAACCCAGCGTCCGACAATCTGAGAGGCTGCCGACTAAACGCTGATACAAATTTATTCACCAGGAAATGTTTGGTTTCCCTCAACTGTGAATGAGCTCTGTACATCGACACAGGAAGACGGTTATCCCTCACACTACGCCATTTTTCTTCTTCCAGGATACTTTCTTTTTACACTGACATCCCCGCAGTTTCAGCTCATCATAAAAAGGTGATAACAGAAAAAGGGGGAAAAAAAACATTTACATTGTGATTTGTTTACTCTAAGAAAGCATTGTAGAAATGTAACGAGTCATGTGACATGGAAATGCTTTCCATTATTCTCCACACAGCTTTTATTTTCTATCCTACGTTTCAAAACTGAGTGGTGTATTGATTTTTTGGGGTTTTTTTTTTGAGTCCCTACCTCATGCCTTCTGTGGATTTGTTCTGGTAGTTGCAGTAGAGCTGCGGCGTTCCCAGCATTGCCTCGGTGAACACCGCCAGGAAGCCGAGGGTCTCCACGAACAGCACCGAGTCCAGGAGGACGTAGGTGATGTAGGCCGCCACCAGCGTGAAGGCCAGCACGCACTGAAGGTAGTCCACGAAGCGACTCCAGGACCAGAAGTAGGTCCAGTCAAAGTCTACGCACACACAGACAGCCGGAAAGTCAAGAGGGAGATCAAAAGAAAAAAAGACAACTTGGTATTGATGGCATGTTAAGCAAGGTTATGGTTAAAACTCTTTGACCACTTAGCTATCATAGTTTTGATGTCTTGTTAAAGCTGCAATATTTAACATTTAAAAAATAAAGAAATAAAATCAAGCTCCTTTGCCTTCTCCCGAGCCAACTGCAGAAATACAACATTCAGTCAGAAACAACCAATCAGGTCGAGGGGGAGGGCTTTAGCGCTGTCAATCACCCCTGTGCTCACTCTCTCCTGCTTTGTTAAGCTACAGCTGGTTCACCACAACATAGCCAGTCACCAGGTCTAACACTACTCAGCATAAAAACTGAAAACGGTGGATAAACTTTTTTTTCACACCATTAGCACATTGAGCAACAATTATAGCAGTAAAGTATTGCAGATGAATAAGCAGTCAGCCTCACTCAGAGGTGTGGTGTTACCTGTCAGGGTGCTAGCTTAACATCAACACAGGAATAGTTGTAAAAGCAAGTAATTTAATCAGGTGAATGCTCCAATTTCCCTGTTAGACTGTTCAATATTCACCGCCGAGCTGAGAATTTTCACATGATTCCCAGAAATCTCTTTTTATACTCAGCCCACCCCACAAACACAAACAATATGTCACCACCGCAAATCTTTGTTGTTCCCTTCAACGTTCTTTTCGAATAGCAGTGTTTGTTCTACAACGGTTTTAAGGAAGATTAAATGTTGTGAAAGCATTTGTGGGAGCGCATCGTCTCTTATCTGACTCGTCGTTTCTTGCGTGCGTCGTCTTCACTCGAAAGCAGACGCAGCGGCTCGCGCCGGAAGACTGCAAAGGCTTAACGTTACCCAGAGTCAATAGGGTTAATGCTAAAAGTCAAATGATGGCTGTAAGCAAAAGAGCACTGCTGCACCAAGTGTATTTTAAAGAATTTGTTTAGTCCACAAATGTAATAAAGAAGTGCCTAGTAAAAGTTCAAATGAAGTTTATCTTATACAGTAAAATAAACCTCTGCAGAAAGTGTGACACACAGGCTCGCTGTACACATCTCCAGGGACATCCATCCAATAAAAACACAATGAAAACAGCAGAACAGCAGCTGCTGTTTGTCTACTAAAATAAAACGCTTCAACGGAATAAAACTATCCATCAAATCCTAATAAAATCGAATAAACCCCACCCAACAAATGTTTATAACACTTGATGACATGAGGAGGGAAATCTTTTTTGTCCTTTCAAGAATTATTGCTGAGTGATTTTGACATTTAGGTGATATTTCTAAATGAATACGCATGGCAGCCATGCATGTGTGGAAGCTAAAGTGGCCTTACAAAAACTGAGCCAATCCTATTATTCCTCTATGAAAGACAGGCTAAACAAATCCCATAAATTTAATCAAACGATTACATTTATGCCACCCGAACCAGGGAGCATCCTTCTGTCAAGCTGCCACATGCTATTCACAAAGCAAAATCTTACAAGCAAATGAAATACGCAACATAAGGCAAACACGGAGAACGACAGGCAGCTGAACCGAGGGGACACCGGGGACGGTAACTGTTCGAAACACCGTCAAAAATCCTCTGTGGGCTGTGTAATGTATGCTAACCAGTGTTTATCCTGCAGGTACAGATGCTTGACGTGGTTGTGGAGTCATGTTTGCGGCAGAGCCAGAGAACGGCAGGGTAAGCCAGCTTATCACTATGCTGGTACAGCCTGATAACAGTCCAGCACAGCGGGGGGGCTTCATTGAGTTGTGCTAAGAGCCAATCTGGGCGCTAAAGGCATTCTGAAAAATTCTACTGACAAAAGATAATGCATCATCTAGGACCGTCAAGTCAGATCATACTGAGCCACCTAATTGACATGAGTGCTTTATAGCTGCAGTGGGGGAAAAAACTCCACTGAGATGTTTGTATTGTTTTGCTTTGCTAGCCTCTTGGCAAGTAAGCTAGCAGCAATTGTGCAAGAATTGAGTAATACTGTAAAAAAACAGCTTATACATCACCAGCATACTAGCCATAAAACTAGCCTGATGTATTAAAAATAAAATAGCGAGTTAAAGCTAGAAACTCTGCTAAAAAGTAGAAGAGGCTGCTTTTTAGCAGTAGCAGAGGCTATGATTATATAATCAGAATGTGTAGTAATATATTTACTTAGGCAGAAAGTGTCAAAACACTGACTTCAATTGGCTTTGCTTACTTACTCAAACCCAGAACACATCTTTAAAAACAGCATAAGATTTATGAAACTTTAATGACATTTGTGAAAACACACAAAGGGAGAATTTGAACGCTGTTTTGGCACTAGGACAATCTAAGAACTAGACACTAAAAAATATGGACTAAAATATTTCATACTGAATACGGATTTTTGCAAAACACGGCTTGTCCCATCTTGTTAAAATGAACTCGGCCTTGTTTATCATCACCTATGCGGAACACGTCGGAGAAGTTTTCCCATTACATTCACCAGAGTTTTTTAGGAAATCATTTTCTCAACTTTTTAATTATATTTCGAGCTCCTCTTTATGTGAGAACTAATTGCAGGCCAAACAAGTTTTATCTGTAGGGCTTTCCTTTGTACTCCCCTCACATATAACTAATAGCTACTGCACGTTTTTCCTTCATGCTGCAACTTTATCTGACAATTCTGAAAAACACTAGTGGAAAAAAAGAAGAAAAAAAAGAAAGCAACATTGGAAATCCTTGGGCTTTATGGCAACATATCAGTTTTGGGAACTGGGCACAAGCTAAACTAAAAAGCTTTTTGACTAAAACAACTCCTAAGTGACGTTTTTCACAGTGGTTCACCTCGCCGTAAAACCCTCTCTCGCTGTGCACCGGGGTGTCCAGATCGACGCTCCTCTTCTTTCGTCCTCGCGCTGCACGGTGACGGCGTCTACGGCCGCCGTATGCGGGGAAGACAACGGAGCGGAACAGTGAACCGCTTCCCTGCGGCTGGTCAGCTTTAGAGGTTTAAAGTCCCACGCGGCAGTGAGAGTGAGAGTTGTGTCAGTGAGGTCTGAGTTCGGGATTTCGGTTACTTGTTCCTCGGCTTCCCGTCACTCAAGAGCAAACGTAAGAGCCAGAAGATTATTATGAGAGACTGTTGGAACAGCTCAAATGAGTGCAACTCCTATGTATAATGATCTGCAGGTTTGTGGCAGAGTTAGATCCCCACCAGCCCTTAAATGAGAGAATAACTGCACCTATAGGGTGAGGTGACCTATTCTCAGCCGCCAAGGCTGGTGTGACTGTAGCAGAACCATGTGGAGAAAAAATGAGCCCAGACATTTTTTTTCCCCAGACTAAAGGTAATGAAAGTCCACTGCGCTCCACTCGTTAGGGGGTAGAGGTACAGTGCAAATTAAGTTTTGATTGAGGTTAGGGTTAGTAATTGACTAGCAGAGGGTTTATATAAATGGCAGTCCAGGTGAACCTGCTCTGCAGGAACACCTTCCGAGGCCAACGCGCCCAGGCGATGACGTTTGCCACGTGTCCTCTTGCACCCGATTCAACTATAAAACCAGCTTAAAGGCGCGGCTGGATCGCAACAGAAAATATTTAACCGAAAATCGACTGTGGCTACAGTCCAGCAGCAAACCACGTTTTGAGGGTCGAGGAGCGCGAGTTAAATGTGATTTCATTTCATGGTCGAAATAAATGCGATTCCAGAGACAAGCGACCCCAAAATAAAATTTGTTTGTGTAAGGCGGCCGGAGTCAGACCCACGACCTCGATTTGGGATGAGTAGAATATTACTCATCTAAAGTATTTACAACAAAAACATGCATTTGCTAGTTAATTTTTATTCATTTACATTTACCAAAGAATTTGAAATTAATTTAATTGAATTTCCTTTTGGGATCAATACAGAATTTTTGAATGCGAGTTTAAGTTGATGTTTGGATTTTTATTAATAAGAATGGAAATAAACATCCAAAATATGAATCTGTGCAGCATTCAATCAATCTAAACATGAGCTTCACCTTTTGTGGGGATTAATGAAATATATTTTCTCTTCAGATGGATTTGTAGCGATCCAATCCAGAAAAACAACGTAATATTCATCACAGCGATCTAGAAAAAACCCCAATAAGAATGAGGTTTAGAAATATTTGAGTTGCAGCTCAGTGGAACGGTATGAGCAAACAATGCAGAGCTATAGCTTCCACAGTGCAGCCTTGCCTTATGGTTTGCTCACTGACACTAATTCATTTTTTATACAGCTGGAGATCCTGAAAAAAAAAATCCAATCACTTTTTGCCTTAAGGTCCTAACTTTCCACCACTCAAACAACTGGAGAGTTTCCCTGTGACAATTTTATAACTTTTTTTTTTCCCCAAAGAGATGTTTCAGCCCCCCCTGTCCACCCCCCAAATCCCTTTACCTGCACGTGACTGATCACCAACGCTGAACGATCAGTTCTTTTAATCTCTTTATAAAGGATTGCGGCAGTAGGTTTTCCACATAAATCTAACTGAACCGAGCCGTTGTCGGACCATTTCCTCTCACGGCGTCGGACAAGAGGAGAGATAAAAAAAAAACCGAAACACCCCCTGGCTTTCTCGAGGAAGTCGTTCAGTCAGTCGTATCTCTTACGAAGCTGTTTTTCTGACTGTCTAAAGAAGTCAAATTGTTAATGATTGTGTTTTTCTCTCAAAGTACAAATGTCCAGCTGTTGGATGGAGCGGCTAGGTGTGACAATGACACTGTGACGAGAACAAACAGGTGAAGTTTGGAGACCAGACATTGGCTGCATCGTCAACAAGGGAAGCCAGAGCTGGCTCATTTAGCGCAGACCTTCCTTTTGAACGTTATGCCATCGATTTGTGGTCTCTAAAGCTCGATCACTCTGCGTGAGAGCAGATCAATGGACAGGCGTAACATGTACTCCAAGTACCCGATGTCCAGCAGGTCTAATGATGCTCGGCCGAGCGAGTTAATCGATGGTTGAAACCTGCAGCCAAGCGACGCTACCCCTGATGTGAAGGCAGACTAAGCAAGCAGGATCACACCAGGGCCCTGAAGGCAGTGAATTTACAGCAGAGATGAAAAAACTGACTTGTCATTTCTAATTTACATGAACATTTTTAAAAAATATATCCAATGGAAGGACTATAAAACAGCTGTGACACCAAATTGGCTTGTTTTTACACCAGGGTTCACTAAACGCTGGGACTTCTCTGGGTACTGGATCTCCTCTGTTTACTGTTTCCTACCGCCATCTAGTGTTCATATCTGGGAGCACAACTCAGAAGCTGCACAACAGTGTCATCTTTTAAAATGCTTAATCTAAAATATTAATAACAATAATAATAATAAACAAACAAACAAAGAATAAGAAATTGATTGATCAAATGCTTGAAAGGCACAACAAAACACATGAAACCTTCAACTTTTCCCTCCTTAGAGATCAGATTTATGAATTTTATGTGTTTTTGGGGATGTATGTTCTGCATGATCAGACTTTGCTTTCCCAGTACTGATGGTGATTAGGCTGGAACTATTATTGAGCTATTATTTTGATTGTTTTGATGATTAGTCTGATTTTAGAAACTGGCACATCCTGCAATCTTTTCATCATACCACCTAACTTTAATACGATATCAGAAGTATAGTAGAAAATGTAAATAAACTAAGGACATTAAGAAAATATTCAACAGCAGCATTCCGTTAGCGTGCGCGTCATTGTTTGGAAAAGCTCAGCTCTTTCTGCTTGGGCTAAAATCAATACGTCGGGCCGATCTGTTGATTTTTGGGGCATTTTTATTTTTTGATTAACCAATTAATAAATGTACATGCTGGGAGGTAGCGGTCACTTAACCCTCTGACCATTTTTGAGGAAAATTTGCAATAAACTCACAATTATGTACTAGAATGAAACAAATTGTCAATTTCTGGTAATTGCGAAAGACTTAATGCTGAAAAAGGTACAGTAAGCCACTGTAGAGACATAGCTGTACTTTATTCATAAAATCACCCTCTAATCTCATCGATCTATAGATGCATTTCTTTCAGGACAAGGCAAATGTTTCGAATCCCGTCCCACAGACTGCTTACGCTGAAACTTTGTGTAGTTCAAAGCATGTCAAAAGCTAAGCTTACAAAAAACAAACACAAGTTTGGAGAAAGAACGTGCGTCACATTCACCTAGCGGACCACGACAAAATAAACATGCAGCAGAGACTACAGTCTACTTTTGTGTTTCTGCATCAAATTCTATTGAAAAACCATGTGAAATACTGACATGAACAGAGCATGCAAATGCCATACAACTGGTTCAAGGATGATTTCACTGCAACGAAGGCGAACACCGCAACATGCAGTGACGCAGCAGTGACCCAGCAGCGGCGGCGGTGGACATGCGCGAGCAACTTCCACTGTCCAAAGCCGGAAACTGCGACGACGTGTCAGGGCCATTGTGGATAGGAAGAAAAACAAAAGTAAGGAGTAAATTTCCAGCAAGAAATCTCCCAGATTTTCAACAAAAAAAAGTGGAAATTTCTAAGTTTGAACAGTCGCAAATGTTCAACTTTTGAAATCCTAATAGTTCCCAAAAAGTCGAACATTTTCAACGGGTTTGTTTTTCCCCCTCTGAGATTTTCTCTACTTTTCTAGAAAACTTCAGAGGTTAATCTCACAATTTGTGAGTTCTTTTGGCAGAAATGTATTCTATGTTTTTTGTTTTTTTATCTACAATGGCCATAATTCGCCGTCGTAGGAAACGGACGCAACTCCAAGCAGGCAAGAGAGTTGTTGTTAGTTGAGGGGAAGGGGAGCGGTGAGTGTTAGCTGGGTTGGCGTCATGCATGAGAAACATGGAGGTGGAGGAGTGGGGGTGGCGGGTGGAGACAGAGCGGAGGTGGATGAACTACAACGGACGTTTCAAAGTACGTACCCAGAAAGAGCCTCTTAGGGATTCTGACCTCCTCGTCCTTACTGTCTGTCGCTACGGGCGGGGGGCGAAACGGAAAGAGAGGGACAAGAAGAAGAAACAGCTTGGTTTTCTGCTTGGTCTTTACATCAACACTAACAGATGACCGGCGGAGCTCCCGGCCGCTCGACTGCGTTTTAGCCCTGAGCGAGTGGGGGCCGATCCGGATGCAATGCTGTTGCGTTTTTGGTCGTTGACGCTCAATTTCACAAAGCAAAGATAAAACGTCTGCGGTTTTGTCTTGTTTCATTCAAACGAAAACGCAACACCCTGTTATTATTTGCAGCCTAACCAATCGGCCAATCGGGCCAGCCTTTCCTTCTTTTATTGCTATTTTTTAAGACATTATGGCAATGCCGTAAACTCAATGCAGTCGGTCTTGCATGCAAATTTGACTTGAGATTTTATCAGTTTTTTTTTGTTTGTTTTTTTAACTGTAACTTTCGGGAATTAAAAAGAACAAGTAGCACTAATTATAGTGACGATGTGTTAGAGAAAAAAAAATGCAACATTATTATTTTTTTTTCTTTAAATCAGAACTTGTTGGAAAAAAAAAAAAAAGAGAACCCCTTACTTAATTTTTTGTATTTTGTGTTTCAGAATGTAATAAATTCATCATGTCTTTTCCACATTCTAAAGATATTTAAATAAAACCTCACAAGTATAAATCCAACAAACATGCCACATTTTCGCTATTTTTAAAGCAAATATGAGGGACCAACAGAAAAGCAGTGGCTTGGACACCCTTGTTGCTTTAAGAGGATTTAAGAAAGACAGAAGCCAAACAATGCCTGCAACATTAGTGCTGAACTGGTTCTCCAAGTACATAACCATGTGAATCCTGTGTACATACAGGGTGAAGATGAGTGTTCCTAATTTATGACCAATGTCTTTTTCTAATTATACAGGATATCATTGAACCAGTCTAGATCAGTAGTAGGGGTCAGCGACACCCATGGAGTCAGAAATAAGCAAGTCTGTTGGCGTTCAAGTACAGAAATGAAGCTAGACACTAAGCACATTTTAGAAATGTTGGAAAGGACGCAGCAATCCGACAACGTCCAAAAGCGACCGAGTCTGGCAAAAAGCCTCAGACTGAGCAGAAGGTTCGACATAGCTTCCGCCGTCGTTTTGTCGGAGCACGTTGAGCTACTTTTTGCCGCCGACTGAAGGACGACGACACCCACTGGAGCTGTTGATGAACTCTGACGTAAAATCGCCCGAACTGTGTAGAGCAGAGCTGAGTCCAGCAAGACCGCTAGGTGCTCGCAGGAAAGGACCCGACGTCGGAGAAATCAACTGGAACACATACTGGAGTGAAGAACAAAGATCTGTCTCTAGAGGATTATAGGTAAAAAAAAAAATTGCGATTCCTCAAGGATGACTTTAGTTACCAACCAGGTGCTACTGATTACAACACTTGATCTATTGAACAAGTGTGACTCCCTGCATGGAAGCAATAGTTTTGGCAGTCTGATGGTCTGAACCATAAGGAAAGTCTTTATGAAATAAAATATGTTTAATTTTATGCACAGGCCGTTTACATATGGTATTTCGGGTTCATCTGAACCACACTGAGTAGACGGTACCATTTGCCTGTCGGTGTAATGGACCCAACTTGAAGAAACTAACTGGAACACACGATGAAGTTGGAGGGATTGATAAAAAAAAAAATCTAGAAGTTTCTCGGCAAAAACCGACAAGGCTGTCAAATGTGTAAAATACACGGTTAGATGTCGTCAGAAACAGTTTATCTGAACTTGTGTCGGAACAAATAGGCTCAGAAATGTGACCTTTTAACAGACAGACATCACACTAAGACCAAGATTGTTAAAAAGGCCTTTGTCATGGCATTCAGCTAATGTATCGTTTCATCCTGCAATTGTAAATCATATCCAGATGCAATGCTTATCGCTGTGAAGCTGTTCTGATAAGCTGCCCGTTTATAACTGATCTGAAGTGATTTTGGTTCTAGAAGAGCAGAATAACGGCGTCACTTTCAAGATTTTCTAATGGTGGCCGTATGTCCAAGATCTTTAAGTTGTGTGTGTCACCTTTTGAAAGTAAGCTAAAAGTAAGGTGACATTACTAGAAGACACATAATCACATGAGAGGCTGAATGTAAATAAGTGGCAGTTCTTATCAGACAAACTCAAGGCGGTTCCTAGGATCTCCTGTTACAACTGGGAGATTTATGGCCTTTTATCTCTAATCTATATTTACAAGAAAAAAGAAAGAGCAGCTACAGTTGTTTTGTCACCAAGTCATTTTTTTACTTCAAGATGTGTAACAAAAGCTTTCGATTCCCTTTGAACTTTCCCACATTTTGTTGCCTTAAAACCACAAATCTAAGGGAGCATTTCTATGACCTTAATGGTAGAGTGTGAAGAAACGCCGAACATCGGACCGAACACTAGTGTGGCGATGCTTTTCTTGAGCAGAAATAGTGAAGTTGATCACTGAATTTAGGGACTATTGTTATTAGGAAAAAAAAATCAACACAAGAAGAACTGAAGACTCTGGAATTTGTGATTGAAAAGGAGCAAAATATGAAATTCTGTTTTCTATTCGTCCTGAGGAACTGTCTACGACAGAGTAATGGGACAATTGTAGACAAGGGGAGAGGGGGGAGTACATTTTCACCAAGAAAACTCAGAAACCTGGATTAATCTCAGAAATTTTCTAGGAAATTCTTGGAAATTTCTGAGTTTCAAGAGTCAACAAATTGTTAGAAAAAAAACATTGAAATTTTGAGATTATTCTAAAAAAAATTTCAGAATTTCTTTTTTTTTCACATTTTCAACCTTTGAAACTCAGAATATTTCCCAAATTCAAAAATGTTTGACTTCTGAACCTCAGAAATTCCTATTCTCTCTTCAAGAAAATGTTGGCTTTTTTTTTTCTGGCAATTTTTTTACTTTTCAAGCTCTGAGTTTTGTTTTGTTTTTTTCTATGTACAGTGTCTCCAATAAGCAGTCATAACTTTCTTCTATAGCACAACATGGAGGATTTGTTGGAGAACTTTAATAGCACCCAGTTTAATGCTTGGCATTGAGGTTTGTTGTAAAGTTTTGTTTCTTCTCTGAATGCCAATAATCCATTTGAAGAGCCCTCTCTTTGGGTTCCAGGTTCTTTCTCTCTCACACACACAGTATTTGAGTTATCTAAATGCCTCTGACCTAAGAAGGAGCGCCTCTTGGTGCTGAGTTCGGCGGCCATGCGGACGTTGGTGCACAGGTTGAGCATGACCAGCATGGTGCAGATCATGATGATGCTCTGCCACAGCAGCGGCATCTCGTAATAGCGGCCGAATCTGGAAAGGAAAAATGGAGAAGAGAAGATGAAGCACACAGTGGACTAAATTTGTCTCTTGCATTTTGTCACATTACATCCTCGGATTTCTGTGTATTGTTTTAGGGTATTGTATGATCAACTGGATTGAGGTGTAGTCTTTGACTGGGCCATTCTAGTACAGATGTATGACTTGATCTAAACAGTTCCCCTTGTATGGGGATGCCTGGTGTTCTGTCTGCTCTTTTCAGATTTTGCACTAAACATAAAAGCCTTTCACACTTTTCAGATTTTGAATTAAGCATAAATGCAGGCCACACTTCTCAGATTTTGGGATGAACATAAATGCAGGCCACACTTTTCAGATTTTGGGATAGACATAAATACGTGAAATTAAATAATTAAAAATTAAAAACCATTCAAACTTTTGTTTGAAACTAGAAAAATACACACACGTGTATATATATCTTTCTATTTGATCTTGAAGTTTTGAGAGTAGAAAAAAAAGGTTCAAAAACATGACCACCCAGCCGAACCTGAACAGGATCCTCAGGATGTTGGCCACCAGCAGCACCAGGCACACGTAGGTGGAGAATCCCTCCGCGTTCTGGCTCCGGCGGATGTCTCTGTACTGCGGGATGTAGGGCACCACCCCGCCGAACATGATAGCACCCGCGGCGACCCACGACACCAGCGACCTGAACACGGACACGACATGCTGGAACACTTCGTCCTCCATATTCAGCTGTGACTCTGAAGTGAAGCCAGCCGGCTGGCGGAGCTCCTGGGGTCTGACGGTTGTTGTTGTTGTCGGTGGTGGTGATGGTGATGGCGATGCCTCGGAGTGTGCGCGAGTAGTAACATCCGTGTTGCGGTTGCTCTTTCGCGCAGGACGTGCAAACAATGGAACCTCTACCGCCACGACATCGATACGATAAACCGGAAGGTTGTTCACAGCGTTGGAAATCAGCGAGGATCTGATTAGCGGAGTGATTTGTTGTCGTGTTGATGCTAGCAAGAGGTTAGTGAGAGTTACGGAATTTAAATAATTATGATGATTACGCCGAAGTTTTTAAAACTCAGCGAAATAACCTTAAAAACTGACAACAACAAAAAAGATAGAAGAGTACAGCGTTGACACAGCAACCGTTCCTTCGCTGTGCAGCGACAACCGGTTCGTCAGTTTATTCCTTCTTTCCGCACTTCCTGAAACGTCACAAACTCGAACGAAGATGGTGAAACTTCGTCAAGATGCTTCACCCGTCAAATTGACGACGCGCCTTTCTGGCTGTGATAAGAAAAATAACTTCTGTCATCATAAAAATGCTGGAAAAGGTCTTCTTTGTTTTTATTTGCGATTGGCAAAAAATAAAAAATAAATAAAATAAACAAACAAAAAACACGTTAAGTTAGTATTACCATGGAAGAAAATGTCGCCTATGTTTTGTGTTTTCCTTCACTGTGTTTCTATCTTCTGTGTAAAAGTCCTTAAAGTCATGGTGAGTCTTGAAGCTAAGAAATTTTTCAACATTTTTGTAGAACATAATTTAGTGGTTTTCTGCCCCAAAAGCGTGCTTTTAGTTTTTCATTATTATCTTTTATGTGTTGTTTTTATTCTTTTTCTTTATGGTTTTTCCCCCATGCCTCTAATTTCTTATCTGTATTTGAATACTTATTTACATTGCTGCCTTGTTGTTCCATGAAATCCTTCAGCAAAGAAAAGAACATACGAAAAAAGAAATTCTTATAATAATGTCGTACCTTTCTTAGGCTAGATTTGCCCCCACTTTGGGGAAATTCAAGTATACAGCAAGGGCAAATTTATCACAACAGGTTTTTTCAAAACAGCACCAGATAGTGTATGCTTCTTTTGAAACAGGTCATTTCCCACAGGTCCTGAAAACATATATTTCTTAAAAACAGATTTCTGTTTATTTTAATAAATAATAGTAATAACAAAAAAAATGGTTAAATGTTGATGGTGTTACTTATAGGCACAGATTTTGACAGCAAGGAGACCAAATATTTAGGTAGGGCTCCTGACTTCACCCTGGGTCTCCTGAAACTTTTCGTGCTGCTCTGCAGCAGAGCCAGAAATATTTTATTGAAGAGCATGTAACGCAGAGGTCATGTCAATAATTCATCTTTCAGAGCTTATTTTAGTACCTTTGTAGTTCTACATCATATCATGTCGCCTCGGTTTATCCTCAGCGCTCCGGTATGCTTCCAGTGCTCTTTTCTATTTTAGGTTCTCATTATAAATTCATTCCATTGAGCAACGGAGACGAAAGACGCGCAAAGTCTGGATTATGGCGCTTTGTGGGATTTAACAAGAAATTACATAACCCTGTGTGCAGTCTGTTCACTGCATTTGATCTGTGAGAATAAGAAGGGCAAAGTCTTACATAAAAACCAAAGTGACAGAGAGGAGAAGTGTTTACAGCTCTGACGAATCAAGATATAAATAAATTAAAAAAAATAAAATAATTTTTAAAAAAAAGCCCCCATGACCTGACCTATCTCACTGAACCAGTTCACAAACAGTTAATAAAATGCCTTTTTTTTTGGTCCCCCATGTACACAAATCACTGTGGATGTCAAAGTCAAACCAGGAAAAACTCAAACTATGTGAAACAGGAAATGAGAGAACATCTAACTTCAAAATAAAGGCGAAAAAAAATGATTATTTGTTCAAATGACTATTTGTAAACTTTGCAGAGCGTTTTGATAGTCTGGAGATTTTTTTTTTTTTTTTTAAAAAAAACACTGTATTCTAAAACTTTTTAGAACCCCATTCAACTTCGCAGACATTATAAAAGTAGAAACATAAGACATTTGTCTTATACTGTTTTCTTTATCATCTCATCTCATTTTCCTCCTCACAAATGGCTGTTTTTTATTTCTGAAATGGCTACCAGCTTCTAAAGAGCTAGTAGTCTTTAGCACGAGCTCTATTGTAGTCTAGTAATAATAGTGGTAGCTTTCCTTCCTGTTGTCTTATATAATATTAGATCCTTGAGCAAACGCTTTAAATAAGGGAGCAGCTTTTATTTTGAAGTAGTAACTGCATAAAACGGAAGTCGGAGTTTTCGTCGCTCCAGCTGCTGTGCCGCAAAGTTAAGGGAGCCTCTGCCAGCCTCACAGAGGGGGAAACCCATTTCTAGCGTCGTGCTAACCTCTCCGTTTAGCTGAATACTTGCACAGCGACTCTTTTGGAATATATTTCAGTTGAGCAAAAACGCGACTGTGCGACTTGGAGAAAATAAAATGTCCAAAACAGACTGTAGAGCCGCACAAGACATGACAGAGGCGGTAAGTTTTGCTCACCGGAACTCACAAATATTCTGAAAACGTTCCTAAACTTCAGCTTCAGTTAAACGTGTTTAAGTTCATATTTCAAGGGCAGTTTTTTTCTTCTTCTTCTCCTGTCTCTTCAGATGGAAACTACGATGCAGCGACTTCAGGAGAGGTTTCTGGCTATATCTGAACAGCTGGAGTCAAAAAATATCCTTCTTGTCCCCCCCTTGTGTTTTTCTTCTTTAAAGTTTTGGTGTCACATCTTGTTTTTGTCACTAAGCAGGAACACTGGAAATGATCTAATGAAGGACGTGTGTCGGCAAGAAAGTTCCATGACCACCAGAGGGCAGTCACACCTAAAAAAACAACAACAAACAAACAAAAAAAGTCATTCTTTTTGCCATTTTGACCAGAAAATATTTGAAAGCAGTCATTGTTTTAAATCATTAGCATGTGCATCTGTAGGAAAGATGCATGTTTGTGTTGGGCGCGTAAAGAAGCTTGCTAAATACGGCAGTGAGTTGTTCTGGGACTTGGTGTTTGTGCCAACCTCATTCTCTGATTTGCAACCCGTTATCGCGGAAGAATGGGGTGGCATCCCACAGCAGTGTTTGACCAGCGTAAAGGAAATAAACAGGATTTTCAGTGGTGTAAGCTGTGATGCCAAGAAGTGTGGCTTTGTTAAAAAATAGTTTAACTTTTCAAGCTAAGATGATGTAGACGATCTAATAAGGATGGCGCATTAGCTTTTTTTTCTGTTACATTTTATTTCCATTTTAGAACAGGTCCATAAATATAGATGCACTTTGTGGTGAAAACAGCTGAAGTGGAAAGTAGATGTGAGGAGCCAGGCTGACAGAACCTTTGCAACATTTATACTCTATGCCGTTCGTCCGCCCTGAAGTGCATATTCTGCAAGACTCTAGAGGGAAAATATTTCTCTCTGCAAAAATGCACCAAGAAGGGCTTTTTGCTCGTCCGCCATGTCTTTCTTCACTGAACTCTCCATGTAGTTATGACATTTTAGAGGTGGGCAGCTTAGGGAAATTTTGTCGCGCAGAAGGACGTGGTTGCTGAAATGCCGTAACTTGACCTCGTGGTGCCGCAGAGACCTCGCAGACGAGTCCAGCATAAACCAGACAGAACTCGGCTCTTTAACAATGGTGCGTGGAACACTCACCCGAAGCAAAACGGGGGTTGTTCCTGCAATTGTGCGTCAACTTCCATCTGTTTCCTAAGAATTGAGAATGAACTGAGACAACGTTTTGGTGTGGCCATGACCAACCACAAGAGATAAACAAGGCTTGACAGCACTGTTCGGAGGAAACCGGGTGTAATTTTTGATTGATGAACTCCCAAAAAACTTCTGATACTAGTTACAAACTACTATGTCTGTAACTAATGTAGGTACAAACCTTTATTATGGGTAATTATTTCTCAAATCATGTCATTAAAGTCTTTCTGATTGAATTCTCTTGAGAACTGATTTGTTGTAACATTCAGCTGATAAAGCTTTGCAGTGGTCTTTAACTCTTACACTGGATCAGATGGGAACTCGCATCGACGACCTGGAGAAGAACGTAGCTGAGCTGATGACGCAGGCTGGCATGGAGGACAAGGCCAGTCCAAAGTGACTCTAGTCGGGCTGGATTTTTAAAGTCACTGCTGTGCTGGAAGGTGAACCCCTGTTCCTAGGTTTTCTTCCAGGCTGGTTTTCAACCATCTTCCAGTGGTTCCGATTGAACTCTGCCAACTTCCATATCCCCGAAGAAGAAAAGCATCCCCACATTCCACGACGTGCCACAGTGGGGACGACATTTGTTTTTCACCCTACAGTGTTTTGATTATAGGTCAGAAAGTTTTAGTTTGTTCTCATCTGACCGGAACACATGACCTTGTTCCTGATGCTTGCTGCGTTTCCTTGCGTAGCCTTTTACAAACTTCGACCATTTTACTGGTGATGTTCAAGGTCCTGAATGAGGCTCTTAGATCACCCCATGTGACTTGACCTGTTTCAAGCCTCCTTTAAATTTGAGCCAGATACACCATTGGTTACTTTTTAGGCACTTCCACACTGTCATCTCCTGTTTTCAAAGGCAGTCCAAGCAGATTGCAGTTAAATACGAAACCAAAGAACATTGTGGAGATTTATCAGTCAGTAGTTCACAATGCACCGAAGCGAGCTGTTATGGCATCAAATCTATATGTGTTAGACTAACCAAAAGAATATATTGTTCTGTATATGTTTATGTACCAAGGTTTTCAACAGTGTGTCGTTACTGTTCCAACTTCTTCTAGATGAAGTTAGGAGATTCATCAGCTTCAATCCTCTTAATCCAACCTCCAGTAACATTGGTGCTTTTCATCAGTCCCACTTTGAATGAACTTTCATTAAAAGGGCTTTTGTTTTCACTGCTTCCACTATATATTTCAAGATATGTTGAAATATATATATTGCTACATCATTTTCTTTACTAAGTGAAATAAAGTTTATACGACACTTTTTTGGAGTCTAAAATGTTGATTGGGTTCCTGGTAGGACTAAACCAAACATTCAGCACATGAAGTTTAGTCTATAAGCGATGGGAAGACTTTAAAATCAAAACAATTAAGTGCCCAAGTGAATGGATGGCTTCTTAGAGTGCAACACTTCCCTCTAGTGGTCGCATCTTGTCACTACAGGTTTGACTCTGACCATGGTGCTGAAGTCAGCACCATGGTATGACTTCCAGACAACTAAATGTTCTAGTTTCTTCCTAGAACATTTTGGAAGAAACTTATAGGGTGCCTGCCACAGTGTGCCCGTCGGTTGGAACCCAGCGTTCTGATGCTAATAATTAGCATCAATGCTAAAGTGAGCTTAATGTACTCAATAGCATGAGGAGAGTTACAAGCATGTTGAGCAACATGGACCGTTCAGTATGTTTAAAATCAGTGTATCGGCTGAAATAAGCCAAAATGCTAATGTTAGCCTAAATGCTGCCAGTGGAGTGGGGTATAACTAGCATGTTGTCTTACATTGACTTCCTCCCTTCAAAAAACTTATTCCAGTGAAAAGGCTACTGCTAATGTTTGTGCTAATGCTAATGCACTGCCTTCTGATTTTCACTATTGCTAAAGTAAAAATCAGACGTTCACTTCATGGCACTTGGTTGCCGGAAGTTGCTCTGCAAAGGCATTTCCATGCTCTCCTGTGCAT